ATATCCTCACTTCAAATGACATTTAACAAATCATCAACAAGAGACTTGATATCGATTTTACAGTTAACGTTGCAGGTAAAAGTTATATATAATTTATAGTAGATTATCGTATCAAATTTAGTAAGAAATGTATATTAGAAGTCCGTGTTATGCATAAGGAATGGGGTATACAACTTGATTGAATAGGGAAATTTCGATTTCTTTACAATAAACGCTATCCTTGACATTTCCTTATAATTATTTAATATTAATAATGGTTATGTAAAGCAAATACACAAATCGTTTATTATGATAGAGAACCTTATAATAATTGCCCAGAAGACATGACAAATTCTCATCCATGTTTTGATTACAATTATCAATAAGATACTTTGTAAATGAAAATAAAAGGTATTAATGCAAAAAAGCACATCTGGTCATTAAGAGTTTCGACATGTTACACATTAATATCAGAGTTTCGACAGAATTTCGCATTTGGGGTTTTGTCAATCGTCAGAGTTTTGTCAAGGTATATACTAATTGTTCATTAGAGTTTCGACAGAGTTTTGACAGTCACTAAAAGGTTTTGGCGAGCAACCTTAACTTGGATATCTGGAAATGACATAGTTATGTTTATTCAATGCTCTCATCTTTGCCAAAACATATTTTAGAATGGATGCCTTATGAGAAATTCAAAAATCTAATATTAAAGAAATTGGATTCAGTTCAATTTATACTGTCACATGGGTAAAAGGGAACCAACTATTTATGATTATGGCGAAGATAAAAGGAATTTATTTATTATGGAACTGATAATGTAGTATTAAATGTTTAAATAATTCAAGTAATCCAGGAAATTACTTTTTTTGATTAGGTTGGTACATAGTTTTTATTTAAATAATACAATACTAATTGATTTATATTTAATTTCAAGCAATGAGCTTTAATTGTTATTTGCTATGGTGTCACTAACTTATTGGATAATGGCAATTAATTTGTGTTCTTGACAGAAGTTTAAGGATTATTTCAGGTCTTTAAATTGGTCTTCTTGGTCTTTGTGTAAAAAAAATTTTATTATTAATTTTTGGAGAGCGAATTTAATTGATAACAATAAAACCAATGATCAAACTGAATAAAGTATTTACTAGTGAATAGTTTTAGGTATGATTTGATTACTCTCAAGTCCATGATGAAATTGCTAATTGTTGTGTGTTACTATCACTACTTTTGTCATTGTTTGTTACACCCTTTGTTATTGATAGATGGAAAAAGGAAATATTTTCTAAAGATAATAAGTAAAGTTAAAAATGTCATTTGATAAATTATTATCATCAGAAAGAAGGGATTTTGTACTTGGAATTCATAGTGGAATGCACCATAATGCTTCAGCAAATTCACATGATAGAGAAAGTGAAAAAGATTGTTATTTTTCATTAGTCAAAAAAAATAAGGAGCTTTCTGAAAATGAAAAACAATATTGTAGAGAAAGGTATATTTATGAATTTGAATTAAATAATGTAAGGAATAAATGGGGCCAACCAAAAGAATGCAACAAGTGCAAATCAATAAAATATTCTGATAGATTCTGTGAAGGTTGTATTAGTTTACAATTACAGAGTCTTTTTGACACTTGGACATCTGGTAATGACAAAGTTGATAGTTTTATTCAACAATGTCAAATGCTCTCATCTTTGCCAACCCATATTTTAGAATGGATACCTTTTGATCAATTTAAAGAAGTAACAAAATTAACCGAAGGTGGATTTAGTTCAATTTATAAAGCTACATGGACAAGGGGGGATATAATTGATTATGATGAAAATAAAAAGGAATTTAGTTATTATGGAGCTTTTGATGTAGTATTAAAATGTTTAAATAATTCAAGTAATCCAACAAAAGCATTTTTTGATGAGGTAATTGATTTTATTTTATTTTTAGCAAAATAAATAATACTATATTATATAGCATTAATTGATTTATTTTCAGGCAATGAATTATCGTAAAATTAAATCAGGGATGATTATTCCTTGTTATGGTATAAGTAAATTCCCAGATAATGGAAATTATGCAATGGTTCTTAGTCATATACCAGAAGGAAATTTAAGAGATTATTTACGAAAAAATCATTCAAAATTAACATTAAAAAATAGAATTATGATCTTTAGATATTTGTGTGAATCATTATATTATATACATGAAAAAGATTTAATTCATTGTGATTTACATAGTGGAAATATATTAGTACAAAATGGTGGTTGTTATATTACAGATTTAGGATTATGTGGACCAGTTGATGATGAATCATCAAATAAAATCTATGGAATTATATCATATATTGCACCTGAACTACTTAGAGGCAAAAAGAATACAAAAAACACAAAAGAAACAGATATTTATAGCATTGGAATGTTAATGTGGGAAATATTTGCAGGGCATCCACCATTTGACAATAGAGGTCATAATCATTGTTTAATTTTTGATATATGTGAAGGTTTACGACCACCAATATTACCAGGAATGCCTGATGATTATGTACAAATGATGCAGAAATGTTGGGATGTGGATCCATCAAAAAGACCAACTTCTAGAGAGCTTTTTGATTTTGCTAAAAATAAATTAAAAGAAATTTATAAAAATAAAAGTTTGAATATTAATAAAAAGGACACTAGTTTAATGAAAAGAATGTTCAAATTTTCTAAAATTAAAAAGCATGAGATTGATTCTAATAATAATAATGATAACAGAAGCAGTGATGGTGGAGATGGTAATTCACAACAAATACACAAATCACATCCAGATGCATATCATACAAGTAGAATATTAAATGATGAAATTACTAAATCAATAAGCTTAAAAGGTTGTACAAGTAATGATAGTTCATTGAATAATCTTGATTTTAATTCTTTCTTATAAATGCTGATTTTAATAAAGGTAAAAAAAGGTTCATTACTAATTAATTGGAAATTACTTTCCATAAATTATTACTAACAGTATTTTTATTCCCATTTAATCAATTAATGAACATTGGATTCTAGTAATAGTAGTAAAGGAAAAGATGTTGAGGTTGATAAATTATCAATGGATGATTAATTTAATCTCCACTATAAATTTATTCATTATATCAATTATATCTTTTTATTTTTAAAGCTAAATTATAATAATCTTTTAAATAATAAATTTTCTTACTATCTTTAATTCTTGTTCCAGAACAGAAAAATATTTTTAGTGGATACTCTGAATAGTTCTTATCAAATCGCATATAATGAATCGGAATGTATACTGACTCCATTCCACTGTAAGGAAAGCATCAAACATAAAGTGATTAATGTTATTCCTGCAACTCTAATCGTTTGTGGACGGTCACAAAGTTCCCACTCTTTGAAGAAAAAGGTAGTTCAATCATACATATTTCCCTTTTTCCAAATTCCCCAAATGTGTATTCAACGTGTTTGTGAATTGCATTTACCGAAGCGACTTTAAAAAAAAACCCCCAAAAAAGCTCCCTTAATATATTGTAGTGAGGACTTAAATTCTGAAATTATAAAGGTTTCGTTTATTAAATAATTGAGCTATTGCCTTTAGAAGTTATTTTTATATCAAGGGAAAAAATAAGTTTGAGATTTATTGAATGGTAAACATTTATAAGGGTTTCCGAAATTTATTAAGTACTTATCACAAATTAATTTTAATCTCGGACGGACTACACTTCATATTTATTATTTTTATTTAAAAATTACTCTGTCTCTCGAAAGAAAGCACGGGAAGGACATAAATCCATGGCCAAATTCGTCAATCCAAATTGTCAACGAGCTGTTATACTTTACAATAAGTTGAATTCCTGCACGCTTCACATTTAAATATATTATAGTAGTGGTGGTGGTGGTAGAAATGAAACTTTCTTAGTAGCCAAGATTGGATGAAATTACTGAGCGCCTAAACTAATTTTTTATATGCCAAAACTAATTTCAATAATAACGAAATTATTTTTTATATGGTTCTTTGCATGGGAAGAAAAAAATTTTTTGTCATTTCAAAAACTATAAGCCATTATCATTTATTTATAATCATTAAAGTGAGTAAGAGACACGTCGAAATGGTTTCATCACCAACAGTGATTTTGTTAAGATCTTGTGTAAAAATTCAAAATCTTCAATAGAGTCAGAATCAAATGGGAGAGGTTATCAAGGTTTCATCGAATAAGATTTGTTTAATTATTTTGAATATTTTGAGAAGGAGGCTTCTGCATGAAACGAAAGAATATGTGACGTGTCCCTTATTGGTATTTTTTTATAGTGCAAGACACCTAGTCCCACAACTTTTTATTGGCCTTGTAGATCCTTCTCTAACTCCAAAAATGGAAATGTA